ACCTGGTTCTTTAAATCTAAGTAGCTGATATCTTTGTGCCCTGACTCCTCTGTGAGAGCATCATTCCAGAGCAAGGCCTCCTTCCTATCTCCATTTGCTAAGGGGGAAGTAAACACATTTAAGGAGAAAACTTTAATAGTTAATAGTATCAGTCTGCCACATCTGTGATTGTCTTGTGATTGCAGCTTTGCATTAGGGCCATTTTAACACACTACCAGAAGTACTTTGCTAGGAAGACATCATAGTGGTCGTTTTGTGGCTTTAAGAAGTTATATCCATGAATGGCTATAACATAATTTAGTTAACCATCTCCCCATTATCAGACATTTATTTCCAATTTCTAGCTATCATACATAACACTGCTGTGAGAGTTAGTGAGTTTTGAAAGAAAAATTTATTTTAACAAAAAACCTGAGAATGCAATTTTATAAAATTGTTCTGAACTAAAATGGATAAAGCGATGGCCTGCATGATGACCTGGTGCCCACTAGCTCTTCTTTTGCTTTTAAAATCATAAATAATTCTGCACGGTAGGGACTCAGGCTCTTGCCCTACACCAACTGCTGTCATTTCACCTCCTCAGCATAGTGAGGCTGTTTCAGAAGGGGTTAGAATTCTTAGCAGCCGGGAACCATTGTTTTCTAGGGACTAGATTAAGAAGGGAGACTAGACATGCTAGTGCATAAAATTTTCTCTTCATTGACTTAAACTTAGCAACAATTTTATGGTTTAAAATTCCAGAGCCCTTTGTTTTTTATGGCAGTGAAAATCTAAGTCATTTCTGCTAATTTCCTAAACACAATTTAAAAATTTCATCATTAAGGAAATTCAAAAACTGCTACATTGAAAAAAGAAAAAAAGCAAAGACATTGATATAGAACTAACAGAGTCCCAAGAACAAGAAAATGTGAATAGTCTGATTTCTACAAACTGACTCTTCAAGAATGTTTTGTCTCAAGATAGAAGATTTTTATAGGACATTTCCAAATGTCTACATTCTGAAGTCATCTTTGCTTTTAAAAAAAACACAAGGATACAAGGAAACTTATCTTTTACAAACAGAATAACAAATACTTCCTATTCAAGACCAAAAATGTTACTTCTGAAATTTTTCTAACCAATGTGAAAAACAACTTATGTGCGTCAGCACACATAGCAAAATAGGTATTTTGAAATTTTGGAGTAGCAAAAAATTTGAAATGATTCAATGCCCACCAAAAGAGAACTGGTTTAAATATTATGGCATGGATTTGGAATATTGTCATTTTGCTTTTTGAAATGGGCATCTCTCTAAGTGCAAATATCAAAGAATTTCCAGGATACACAGATAAATTTTTTTTTAATTCAGAAATGTGTTTATAGTATTCTAACATTTGTGTGGAAGGAAAGAATACATATGTATGTTTATAAGTTCATAGACTGTTTCTGAAAGAACATGAAAGGTAATAGAATTGCCCTTAGGGAGAGGAAACGAAGGCTAGAGACAAAGGAGTGAAAAAGAAATTTTTTAATTGTATAATCTTCTACTTCTGAAGACTTGTTCTGTGAGCATATGTTATCCATTCAAAAACGTAATTTATTTGGTGATTCCTCAAAAAGCTAAATATAGAATAACTATGTGACTCAGTAACACCATTCCTGGGTATATAAAATAAATGAAAACAGGGACTCAAATGTTATATGCCCACATTCCCTGCTGAGCACTGAAGAAATGATGCTTTCAAATTGCAACGCTGGAGAAGATTCTCAAGAGTCCCTTGGACAGCAAGGAGGTCAAACTACTCAATCCTAAAGAAAATCAATCTTGAATGTTCCCTGGAAGGACTGATGCTAAAGCTGAAGCTTCAATAATTTGGCCTCTTGAGGTGAAAAGCTGACTCATTGGTAAAGACCCGGATGCTGGGAAAGATTGAGGGCAGGAGAAGCGGGTGACAGAGGATGAGGTGGTTGTATGGCAACATCGACACAATGGAGAGGAGTTTGAGCAAACTCTGGGAGAGGTGAAGGACGGGGAAGCCTGACGTGCTGCAGTTCCCAAGGTTGCAAACAGTCAGACACAACTTAGCGACTGAACAACAACAATAACAAATCCACTGCCGCATTATTCACGATAGCCAAAAGCTGGAACTATCACAAGTGCCCACCTACAGATGACAAGATAAACCAAATGTGGTCTCTCCATGTAACAGAATATTATTCAGCCATAAGAAAGAAGGAAATTCTGACTCATGCTACATCATGGATGAATCTTGAAAGATATTATGCTAAGTGAAATAAAATCAGCCACAAAACGTCAAATACTGTTTGATTTCGCTTAGCTGAAAATATCTAGACCAGGCAAATTTCTAGAGACAGAAAGTAGATTAGACATTGCCAGAGGTTGCTGGGAGGGGAAATGGGAAGTTATTGCAAAATTATCAGAGTTTCTATTTGGGCTCATGAAAAACTTTTGCAAGTAGAGGTCAGGATGGTTGCACAAGATGTGAAAGTAATGAGAACACTGAATGGTACACTTCAAATTGGTTAAAATGGTAAATTTTATGTTACATTTATTTTACCACTGGCTTCCCTGGTAGCTCAAGACAGGAAAGAATCCGCCTGCAGCGCAGGAGACTTGGGTTCGATCCCTGGGTTGGGAAGATCCCCTGGAGAAGGAAGTGAAAACCCACTCCAGTATTCTTTCCTGGAAAATTCCATGGACAGAAGAGTCTGGTGGGTTAGAGTCCATGGGGTCCCAAAGAGTCAGACACGACTGATTGACTAACACTTCTGTTTTACCACAATAAAAAAATTCAACTAATAATGTAATCTAATTTAAAGAAAAATATCTTGTTGAACCTCTTGCCTATCAGAGGTATTCCAGAAGCAAACATTCTTCCAACCAGACCCCATCCTCTCAAAGCAAATAGTACCAGGTGCATGCTTTGTGCAAAGGTCCTGTGGTGGGCACTGCCCCAAATAGAAAGCCAAGTGGACATACGTCCTGTGTTTCAAAAAGGCATATCACGTATTCTAGCCAGCAGATGTACCTGTCACTGTTGTGTAAAGCAAAGAAGGTGCTGAGTAGGCATGCCAGCCATGTGCAGCAGGAATGTGAAGGCAGAAGCAAGTCAGTTCTGACTGGCATATCCAGGATGGCCTGGTGTGAAGAGCCAGTCATCAGTCCTGCAAGAGAAAGAGGGGTCCTGCGAGGAGAAGGTCATCCAGGCTCGGGGGCAGACAAGTTAGGTTGGCTAACCTGCTTTAGTGCGGGTGTACCTCTGAACAGAGGGCAGTGGTGTCCCATCACCGAGTGTGGGCCTGGGAGGATCAGACTAAAGGTGATTTTGTAAAGACAGTTGAGACCATGTGCATGCGTGCTTAGTCACTTCAGTTGTGTCTGACTCTTTGCGACCCTATGGACCATAGCCCACCAGGTTTCTCTGTCCATGAAATTTCCCAGGCAAGAATACTAGAGTGGGTTGCCCTTTCCTTCTCCAGAGATGTCTGTAACTGGCTGTGATCAATTAATGATAAACACCATTGCACTCAGACCAGCTTGTTGAGGCCAGATGGTGTCAATTTTCAAGTGTAAAATTCATCTGGACTTTTAAATACCAGCTGTGGGACAGTGGCTTAGGTATTCTTTCTGTTCTTCCCATTTTCTAGCTTAATATCTAGGAATGTGAGCTTCTTACCCTTACCTGACAGAGAACTTTTAACAGTTTATATATATTTTTTTTTAATTTCCAACTCAAACTGTGTTTGCCATCTAGTGATTAATTCATGCCATTACAATACCCTAGTTCAGATTTCCTCATTTCTAGGCTCTGCAGTTAAGCTCAAAGGCCTCCAAACTCTGTCCTGTTGGCTGTGGCTTCTGCCTCAAGCCACACTTTCCCTAAGTCTTCATATGGTAAGCTGACATCAGAGACCTCAGTAATTAAGTCTGATCCCTCTAAGAGTAGAAATAATATTCACCCAAAAGACATGTGTAGCAGTTTTTTTAAAAAAAGAAAAATGTAGCAGTTTAAAAGAAAATGCATTTTAGGAATTATGCATTATGAAAAGTTTAGGGAGATTCCGATTTGAAAATTAAGCTGCAGCAACATCTTTGTGTGAATGTAGACTTCTCAGATAAACGGGTGAGATTCTGACCATAGTGGATACCATGGCCACCTCCAGACTTGCCCTTCTTCCTGTGTGTCTTCCAGAGATAAGGACATTAACAGTCTCGCCTCCAAGGAGGCAGTATCTGTTTGAATATAGTTCTCCAAATTTCCGACTTTCTGAACGCAGATCAAAGTAAGGAGCCACGCTTTCTTCTTCTAAACATTTGTTACATCCTTGAGTTAGCAAAGGCAACTCAAAGGCTTTTCTTTCAAAGGCTGTTGTTAATCAGTTGGGAGAGTGAGCCAAGAAATATTTCGTTTATCCAGGAGATTTAAAACTCAACATCAGTTACTTAAAATTCTTGATGGGCCCAGGGAAACATTTTGCATTTGAAGCAGAGTTTTCAGGGATGAATCAGAGCTTCTGAATGATGATTTCTGCACTGGAAAATATCCTGGGTCCAATATCTTGTTTTTCCCCTGAGATTTAGGCTGTGGGAACTCATTTACTCAGTGATTGCTAACTGAATGCCTACTGTCTGCAGGAAATGGTTAGGATAGTATCTTTTCAAAACTTTATTGTAACCTCTCCAACGTCCATGGAATCCACGCAAGGCCTTCTTACAAGGAATTTTGTCCTAGGAAGGATTGTGCTGTAGAGAGATAGTGGATACAGTTCCCACTTTCCTGCCAAGTGGAGCTTATTTTTCAGGTTGTTAACGAGTGGTTAGCCTGATAGCCGCTTCTGGCTTCCAGTCTAGCAACATGCCTGGAACGTGATAGAGGGTATTGTGGGAAGCCATTCGTTCAGTCCCCAAAACCATGTGAGCTGCTTGGCTGTCATTTTTAACCATGACTGTGTCTTTTTTTTTTCCTTGTGATGAAACTCTCTATGCCTGACTTTTGCAGGGGAAGCCAGAGATACCGGGTGTATGTTGTGATACCACTTCTGCCAGGCTTTGAAGGAGACATTTCAACCGGTGGAGGAAATGCCCTGCAGGCAATAATGCACTTCAACTACAGGTGCCAAAGTTCTGCAGTCCTCTGTTTTCAGCTTGCAGTCAGGCATGCATGTAAACTGGCCAGAGGCCTGGAAATGTCTCTCCACATCTACTCAGTGAAATGTTGAGCAGATGGACACATTTCGTTGTTTTGCATTTGAATCTTGGCCTGTTCACTAGTTGATAAAACTCAAATAGAGCCTAAAATCTTAAATGGTAGGCCTAGGACCCTTGGTAAGTATAAAAGAACTAAAATATTAGTCTCTCTCTTATACTAATTGCCTATCACACACACACACACACACACACACACACACACATATATATATATATATATATATAGAGAGAGAGAGAGAGAGAAAGAGAAAGAGAGAGAGAGCATATCTCCATTTATAAGATATATATATACACACAATATATGTATACAAACATAAAAATACTAACATTTTAGTTATTTGTTGTTGCTATTTGTTGTTTTAGTTGCTAAGTTGTGTCTGACTCTTTTGCAACCCCGTGGACTGTAGCCCGCCAGGTTCCTCTGTTCATGGGATTTCCCAGGCAAGAATACTGGAGTGGGTTGCCATTTCCTGCTCCAGGTGACCTTCCCAACCCCGGGATCAAACCCACATGTCCTGCATTGGCAGGTGGATTCTTTACCACTGAGCCACCAGAGATTGAGTACATATTAATATATATTATAAATCAATATATATTATCTGTATAAATTATAGATACAATTTATATCTATATAAAACTTTATATAAAGTTCTTTATATATAATTAATTTTAAAGACAGTTTAAAAATTATCTTCAAGCCATAAATAGTTATTGAGCTTTCCATATTCTTTGCAGTAAGTAGATAAAAGAAAAAAATAAATGCTTACAGTGACATGATTTGCACATGATGGTTTCTTAGTATTTTAGGCAGCAATCCTTCAACAAGGTTGGTAATAATAATCTCTGCCAGTAAGTGAAGCATGAAGGTTCTTTCCTGTCTCCTGGAATTTTAATTCTGTTTTCCCTACCATCTCATTGTTAGAATTTTAGGGAGAATGCGAAGTACTGTTCTCAGTATTCTGAAAAGCAGAGAGTCCACATTCACTCAAAAAGGCCCACGAGGCTTCAGATTTGGCAAGGAGATGATGATGAAAGGGCTGAGAGGTCCTAGCTGGTGGGCGGTGTAGAGAGATGGTGCAGAAAGTGATGGAAACCACGCCCCCTGGAAACCCCACCCCCACCCCCCTGCCGCATTCTTTCTGGGTCACTTAGCCGAGAAGAGTGACCTAGTAGAAAGTAAATGCAACAGCCGTGGCATAAATCCAGCTCCCAGTTACAAACCCTGTGACCTGAGACACAAAAGTGCCCTACTCAGGATCATATGTCAGAGCAAGGACTAGCACTTGGATATTTTCTTTTAATGTCCTGCTTTTCAAAACCACGTGTAGTTTCCCACCTTTCTAATCAAGTTCTTTTGTAGGGAACGGACACATGAGGTCTTGTCCCAAACCCCCAGAGTGTGAAGCAGATAAGGGTCAGGCTTCTGTCCTCTTCCCTAGAGGGGATCCCTGCAGGATCTAAGGCCTTCCAGTGGTTTGAGTGTACCACTGTGGTGGAAATCTTTTATCTAATCCTCTTTGTTTCTTTCTGACTTTTCAAGCATGTATCGTTCTGTCTACCAGGGTTTCAAGTAAAGATGTTTTGTTTCTTCTGGGGTGATTTTGCCCGGCGACATTTTGCCTGGTGACAGTATGAGAAAATTTTCCCTGTGCTTTGGTCTATACGCTTGAAGATTTGCCCACTTCTCATATTATCTGATTTATAACATGACAAAGAAAGCTTTTGAAGTATTTAAGGCACCGACATAATGTTTAATTTGGTTTTATCCACTTCATTTGCCATGCTAATATTATTTTTGGAATACTGTCAATTGTAATTACTTTCTATGACTGTTTTCTTGGGTTTGAACCAGCTGAATGAAATAACATGTTTGGCTTTTGTTCAGCAACTGAAACTATAACCTTTTATTATGCAAAAACATCTCTATTTGCTGGCATCATCTTTAATAATATCAGCATTTCCTAGACATAAGTGTATTTTTAATTACTTTCATAGAGCAAGCAAATGGAGCATAGAATTTTTTGTTTTGTCAGTCTAATTCATTGCCTATTACCAGAGTCTTGAGAAACAAAATCATTAGTAGAGTCAGCTATTCAAGACTATACTTTTCACTTCTAAGGGGTTTTCTATCTTTACGGAGAGAGCTCAGGTACAGTAGTTTCTTTAATTCCAAAGGAACTAATGCCACCTTTTCTAAGAGGGAAAACTCATTCATAATCCATCTTTTTAAAATAACATCTCTTTCTGGGCTTCCCTGGTGGCTCAGATGTAAAGAATCTGCCTGCCAATGCAGGAGACTCAGATTCCATCCCTGGGTCAGGAAGACCCCCTGGAGAAGGGAATGTCTGCCCACTCCAGTTTTCTTGCCTGGAAAATTCCAGAGGAGCCTGGTGGGCTACAGTCCGTGGTGTCACAAAGAGTCAAACACAACTGAGTGATTAACACTTTCACTTTCTGAAATCTAATATCAATTTTGTAACTTTTCATTTATCCACCTCAAAACAACTTGTCCCATCAGTAACAGAAGTGGCACTCATTTTTTTTTTTTTTACTTTTAAAAAGCCTATGTAGCATCTTGTCATAAAAGCACTTGCTCTGTTTTTACTTGGATTAGGTTATTGCAATTGGGATTGGTTCCTTTGAAATCTCTTTAATTGTTTCTTTCCTTTATGTGTTTTCAGAACCATGTGCAGAGGAGAAAATTCCATCCTTGGACAATTAAAAGCAGAGAGTGAGTAACTGCTTTTCTTTTCCTGCATGGTTGTTTCTTGGGACATATTAGTAATTATTAGTGTTTTTACAGTGTGGTTATAGAACTCTTCACAAAAGATAGCCCACACAATGCTTAGCAGAAATAAATTACTTATTTTCACTAAATTGTCTAAACAGTTGTTCAAATGAAGCCATCACAGCATGAGATGCATAGGTGATAAAAATGAGAGTATTTTTATAAATTTTTAAAAACTTTTTGCACTTTTTATTTTTTTGGCCATACCCTGCAGTCTTTGGGTTCCTACCTCCCTAACCAGGGGTAGAATGCAAACCCCCTGTGGTTGGAAAGCTGAGTCTTAACCACTGGATGGCCAAGGAAGTCCCTATTTTTACAGTTTTTATAATTTGTTTTTATTTACTTATAGTAATTGTTTTTGTAAGAAGTGGGATTTGTAAGGCACCTCAAAAGACCCCACGTGTATACCTATGGCTGATTCACACTGATGCATAGCAAAAACCAAGACAATATTGTAATTATACTACAATTAAAAATTAAATTAAAAAAAATGACTTCGTGTGTATCTTCTCCTGTGATCCCTCACCACAGTCCTAGAAAGTAAACAGGAAGGGGTCATCCCTGCTTTAAGGATGAGGACTTGGTCAACAAGTGTGTACGTGGCCTCCTACATGCGTGCATGCTAAGTCGCTTCTTTGTAACCCTATGGACGGTAGCCCACCAGGCTCCCCTGTTCATGGGATTCTCCAGACAAGAATTCTGGAATGGGTACCTATTTCCTTCTCCAGGGAATCTTCCTGACCCAGGGATTGAACCCAGGTCTCCTGTATTGCAGGCAGATTCTTTACACCTGAGCCACGAGGGAAGCCCCCAAATCCACTCCTAAATAAAAGCAACAAAAATGCTCACAAAAATTGTCAAAAATCAACTTCTGCAGAACTTGGGAAATTAACCAAGGGCATGTAACAATTTGTTTATTCAAGAAGGACAGCAGAATCTTGGTAAAAGCAGCAAGCTTTTTAATTTGGCATGTGCCCATCCCCTTCTCCTCAGGTCCATGGCAGCCTTGAAAACCAACTCCCCATCACTGTGAAAGGAAACCCGTAGCCTGGCTACTGGGAGGAGCCAAATATGTTGAAAGCTCCCATCTTCCCACAATCCTCAGAGAATAGTCATAATTTGACCTGACAGACAGTATGAAAGACTTTAAAATAGCTAGTTTAACTATGTTCAAAAAACTGAAGGAAATAAATCTAAGGAACTAAAGAGAAGTATAAAAACAATCACTCTCAAAATAGAGGCCATAAAAACTAAAATTTTTTAATTAAAAAAATTTTTTTACAAAAAAATGATCAAATATAAATTGAAATAAAATATACATAAGAGAATTCAGTGGCATACTGGAGTTGGCAGGTAAATCAACAAATTTAAAGATAGGTCAACTGAGATTACCCAGTCTGAGGAGCAGAAAAAAAGAATGCAGAAAAATGAATGTGGCATTTAGAATAGCCCAGACAACCTCTGTTGTTGTTCAGAGTCTTGCCAACTGTTTGTGACCCCATGGATTGTAGCACACCAGGCTTCCCTGTCTTTCACCATCTCCCAGAGCTTGCTCAAACTCATCCATTGTGTCAGTAATGCCATCCAACCATGTCATCCTCTGTCACCCCCTTCTCCTCCTGCCCCCAATCTTTCCCAGCATCAGAGTCTTATCCAATGAATCAGCTTTTCTTGAAAAAGAACAAATTGGAGGACTCACACTCTCAATTTTAGAACTTACTAGAAACCTACAGTAATAAAACCAGTGTGGTACTGATATAAGGATAGACATATAGGTCATAGGAATAGAACTGAGAATATAGAAATAAACTCTTATGACTATGGTCATTTGAATTTCAGCAAGGGTTTCAGGACAATTCCATGTCCTGAAATGGTGTTTGAACAACTGGATATTCACATACAAAGAGATGAAGTTGGACCTTACACCATACACAAAAAAATAAGTCAAAATGGATCAGGATCTAAAATGTAAAAACTCTTAGGAAAAAACATAGACAAAAATCATTCTGACATTGTATTAACATAGGTTTCTTGGCTTTACAACAAAAATGTAAAAATAGATTAAGTTGGATTTCAACAGACATAAAAGCTCTTATGTTTCAATGGACACTATCAAGGAACTGGGAACAAAAGACTGAAAAAATGTTTGCAAATCATATATCTGATAAGGGATTCATATCCTGAATACACAAAAGAACATTTACAAGTCAACAATAAAGAGATAATCCATTAAAAAATGGGCCAAGAATCTAAGTAGACATTTCTCCAAAGAAGATATACAAATGGACAATAAACATATAAAAAGATACTCAACATCATTAGTCATTAGAGAAATTCAAGTAAAAATCATAAGATACAACTTCATATCCACTAAGATGGCTGTGATTTAAGACATAAAAAAGATAATGATGAGAATATGAAGATTTTAGAATCCTCATACATTGCCGTTGGGAATTCAAAATGCCGTGGACTCTTTGGAAAGCAGTTCGGTAGTTCCCCAAAAGTTAAACAGAGAGCTAACACGTGCTCAGTTGCTCAGTCGTGGCCCACTCTTTGCAACCCCATAGACTGTAGGCCACCAGGCTCCTGGAATTTTCCAGGCAAGAATACTGGAGTGGATTGCCATTTCCTTCTGCAAGAGTTACCATATAACTTAGCAATTTTGCTCAGTAGAATATACCCAAGAGAATTGAAAACATGTTCACACACCAAAAAAATGAAGAAAAATAAAACAAACAAAAGAAAACTACTACTGCTTTGTTGGAGCAGATTCCCAATGCCAGAAATGCCAGAAAATCCTGAGTCTTGTGGCCAAATATAGGCAAATATAATGGGTATGGCTTTTATTTTCGGAGTAATTTAAATGCCTTAAAATTGGATAGTGGTGATGATGGTACAGCTTTGTGACTATACCTTTTTTAAAAAAGACACTGAATTGCATACTTTAAAGAGGCAAATTTTATGGCCGGTGGATTTTTAAATGATCTGTAAAAATAATGAAGTAAGCCTTTAGGACTATATAATTTTAAACTTATCTATTTCTGTTTAATATTCAGTGATTTTTCACAAATGGTCTCTTCAATCTAAAAATCTTGAGAAAGAACTTGGGACATAAGACATGTACATCACCAATAATAAATACTTTCAAAAGTTATATCTAATTTTATCCAGGACATAAATTTACCAGGGGCTTTCCTGGTGGCTCAGTGGTAAAGAATCTGCCTGCAATGCAGAAGATGGAGAAGATGCGGATTTGATCCCTGGGTCAGGCAGGTCCCTTGGAGGAGGGCATGGCAACCCGCTGCAGCATTCTTGCTGTGAAAACCCAATGGACAGAGAGAGGAGCCTGGCGGGCTATAGTTCATAGGGTCACTAAGTCATACACGGCTGAAGCAACTGAGCACTCACCCACACAGATTTACCAGATTATTACCCTATCTCTAGGGTAAAGGCTTAAAATGAAGTGATCGTGAATGAGTAAGGTTCTAAAAGATCTCTTGATAAAAACAAAATCAGGGGACTTCTCCAGTGGTTAAGACTCTCTGCTTCCACTGCAGGGGTGAGGGTTGATCCCTGATCAGAGAACTAAGATCCCACATGCCATATGGTGCGGCAGAAAAGAAACACATGAAATTTGAGAGGAGATAAAAATGGATACGTCTTTAAAAAAGAAATAAAATCAGGACAGTCATTCAGTAATGACAGTAGCTAGTAAAAATGCAAACGTGAGGTTATAGGAAAATAAAGAATCAGAACAAGACTATTATTTAGTTTCTCAACCATTAATATATCCTGAGCTTATTATAAGCATTTCCTTTGACTCTGGACCCTTTTCCTTCCTTTGCCTATTCAGGGGAAAAATTGGATTTTAGCATAAGAAGTAACTTCAATGTTAAGCCCTCTTACAAGTACCCTGGGAACAAGTCAAAATCAGGCATCTCTGTGGGGGAAACGCTCATACTCTAAACATGGAAGAATAGATTAATTACATAATGCCCCTTTTTGAGGTACAGTGTTGTATTATTGGCTTTGTTTTCTTAAAAGTATAGTGGGTTTTAAATACATGAACTAGCTAATCTCTAATTGGATAGGGAACTGTAGTTTTCTCCTGTTTCAATTCTTTAGAAATAACAAAACTGCTGCTACGAATATGTTGGAATTCCTGAAAAGAAAACCAGCTGTGATTAGTGTATAATTTTCTGATATGCTAATCTTCAGGGATTTAGTGTTTAACTTAAAGCATTTCTTTATCATTTTTATAATTGTTGTGAATTATGGCATTTTAGCAGCCAATTTAGTATAATTTAACACAAGGTCTAGAGGTATTCAATCAGGATTAGAAATGCACATATAAGAAGTGCTTGTTTAAGCAGCAAACGCTTGTAACAACTCCAAGGCCTTTCACAAAATGTCCTGATAAACTTAGTCTATTGTATCAGATTTCTTATCTTTCAAGCTATATACATACCACCGTTCACAATAAATATGTCTTGGAGGCCTATATAAAACTCCAGATTCTCAAATACCTCCATGACATGTACTTTGGAAGCCCCCATGATTATTTTTTGCCTATTGCTCTTTATTAATACCTGTCATGCTCCTGGCTTTCTCATGTTTTATTCAGAAGACACTGTTTCAGTATATTCTCACACCACAAGTTAACATCACCAACTTTGTTACTCTGTTGAGTCCGTTTCCTTCACAGAATAACCTACACTCAGCTGTACTTTGCAGGTTCTCCAGCCCACATTCAACTGACCACAGATTGAAAATATTTGAGGGGAAAAAAACCTAGAAAGTTCCAAAAGGCAAAACTTGCATTTGCCACAAGCAGGCAACTATTCACATAACACTTACATTGTATTAAGTATTGTAAATAATCTAGAGATGATTTAAAGTGTACAAGAGGATGTGCGTACATCATGTGGAAATGGTATATGACT